CGAGGCGATAAATAATATCAGAAATTTTTGCTGTATCTAGCGGATGTTGTGGTTTTTGAAAGGAAATGATGATGATTCTACCCACTAATGGTTTTTGCAATAGTTTATTGACGTGTTTTTGGGATCCGGTCAGCGTGTGGGTTTTTAAACTAAGAAAATTTAATATAGGTTTATAAATACGAGGTGCAAAAAAAGAAATAGATAAAGGGTTTAATTGATAACGATTTCCTCATTTATTGATTAATAATATATTAATACAACAACAGTAGTGATTAAAACTACTTGTTAGTATTAAACTTACGAGTAAGTAAAACAGTTGTTATATTAACATACAATTTATGACAAAAAATAATAACATTACATGTTATATAAATAATTTTTTTTATAGTTGTTACCTAAGTTAACACTTTAACATATTGGTATTGATAAATATATTTAAATAAAAAAAAAAAAAAAAAAAATGATAATATACAGGACGGTTATGTCTAGTAAATATTTATAAACTAAACAAACTTTTTATTACTCGTAGTTGTCTTTATATACTAACAAATGTTAAATCACTACTTTGAATAATATATTTATCCAATAAGAATTCTTTACAATTTAAACCTTTATTTTTTCCCTTCGTATTTATAACTATATTAAATTTTCTTAGTTTTAACCCACACGCCTGGCCGGATCCAAAAAACACGTCATACCTATTGCAAAAACCATTAGTGGGTAGAATCATCATCATTTCCTTTCAAAAACCAAAGCCATCCGCTAGAGGGAGATACAGCAAAAAATTTCTGGATATATTTAATTCGCTCGCCCACATGTCGGATGTAGGATAAGCCCCACACACAATTTAATCATTAATATAAATATTTATCGCCCGTTAAAACGAGCCCGCAGGTTGTGATATTTCTCAACATGCGTATATGCTTTTACACCATATTCATTTTTATAATACGTTTCTATATTTTTTTTTTTTTTTTTTTTTTTAATTACCAAAATAATTTTATGTAAAATATATATTAAGTTTCTTCATACTATATTTTCTGTTAAATTATCCAGTGAGCATCCGTTAAAAATTTATTCAAACAATATATTTTTTTGATGGAAAAAATAATCAAAAAAAAAAAAAAATACATTTAAAATAATTTCCTAATTTTTTTTTTTTTTTTTTTTTAATTAATTAACCTTTTTCTGGCGGCCAAAACCGCTCTATCGGGTCCATCGGATCCAACAGGGCGGTTCCCAACAGGTCCAACAGGGCAGTTCTTCAAACCGGATGAAAAAAAAACAAAAAAAACTAACATAACGGTCAACAGGGCTGTTTCAAGCGGAGAAAAACGAACCGGTCTCCTATCGCGCGTTCACTTCTCCCAACAGGTCTGGTTTAAGCGGAATGAATGAACGGCGTCAACAGGGGCACGTTCGCTCGGGCCCAAACAGGTCTGTTCCCCAGCGGTGTTGTGTGTGGGTAACAGGCCTGTTTTAAGTGGGCACTCTATGCCGGGTTGCCCGTTGGGGTTTAGTGTGGGTTGCTGTGGGTTTAGGCGTTGCGTTGCTGTTAGGTGTTAGGCGCTTTGCGCCTGCGTCTGGGTTTCGTGTTTGTTTGTTTGCTTTGGGTTAGCGTTGCGTTAGTGTTGCGGTTGGGTAATAAAACCGTATATTTTCTTATGTAAAGCATCATTAATACGTTATCAGTTATGGAGCAACAACAACAACGTAGACTAAAACTCTTGAATATACCAAACCACAATGTATTTGGTATTAGGAGAGTGAACAAACGTCTGCTTATCGGCAACGAACCAGTTAAAGTACAAGATGATGGATATCTAGCTATTAAAGATGAAAAATTTGAACTGACGAGTGGACTATTGAATCTTCTTACTCAAACCCAACCTGCTGAGTACTCTGTGGTAGATCTAGAGAATTATAAGTTTATACTGTTACTAACAAACGCACATAGGCACCAGTTTAATCACGATAGACATATTACTTCAAGCAAAAGCTGGAAATATGTAAATATTATTTCTAAATTATTTCCACCAATCAGAAAGAGCACAAACTTATGCAAAAGAAAACTTATTATGAGCGATGAAAACTCTCCTCCTCCTGGTACAGACGAACAACTATTAAACGACAATGACGATGAAAAATCTTCTCCTGAATACGATTACATAAATGAACAACGAGTAAGCAATAACTCTCCTCTGGAATACGACGACATTAATGAACTGGTTGATAGACTATATGTACTGGATCAGACCCAAGGAAAAAAAGAGGATATTTTCAAGATATTAAGGGAGCTTGAGCGTTTAGAAGTGGTATATAAGCCCTAAACGTATATATGGTGGTTAACAAGCTACTTACATTCAGTTGACAGTCTGATCTTGTCTGAACAACATGTACGTTATTTTAGCGATAGTGGCAGCGGTTGTTGTGCTTATTCACCCTGCAAGTGGTAAGGAGCTAACACAAGAAGAAGCCCAGACTTTCTTACGATTTCACGGTTATTTTCATAATAACGAATCAGCAGACGTCCAGAACCTAGAATCATTAGCTGAGGGTTTAAGCGAATTTCAAGCTATATATAATCTGCCAGAGGATGGAACATTGAACCCCCAAACCGTTTCTTTTATACGGAATTATTGGTGTGGTACTTCTGATAATTACTATACGCTTCGCAATAGCAAACAAGGCAAATGGAATACTAATAATTTAAAGTGGAAAATTTACCCTCCAACCTCATATCTACCGCATAGACAAAAATATGTAGGAATAACGAGGCAGGCTTTCGAAATGTGGTCTGCCAATAGCAATTTGCAGTTTGAGTATGTCAACCCGTACTCGAAAAAAAATATTTCTGTAAATATAGTGATTTCATTTACGGAGGCAAACCATACGTTCCAAAGAATTAATAGGCTGTGCCCTTTTCATGTATACGAGCCAGTGTTAGGGCACGCATATTTCCCTACTTTAATGTCTACGACCGAGGAAGTTCACATAGCAAAGAGAAGAAACTGGTATTTGGATGAGGAACCAATCCCGCAAGGTTCTCTAAGTCTTTTGAGAGTTTTAACGCATGAAATAGGCCACGCCCTTGGTATTGCGCATTCTGCAAATTATAACTCTATAATGGCCATGGCTTTATCGTATGAAAACATAACGAAACTGTCGCAGGACGATATATTAGCAATTCAAGAATTATATGGTTATAAACAGAGGGTGGAAACAACAACAACAACAAGGGCGTCGACTACGACAACGACAACGACGACGACGACGACTACATCACCGCCACCACCCACACAAGAAATCAATTTAAAAACTCCAAAATTATGTGATTTAAATTCAAAAATGTCAAATACTTCGTTTCTAATTGTAAACAATAAACTCTATTTGTTTTATAAAAAGTACGTGTGGCTGTTAAATTTAAGCACTAAAGAAATTCAAGATACACCGCTTTTAATAACTAATTGGTTAAATTTTTTACCTACATCTTTTGAAAAAATTGCGGGTATTTATCAAAAACCAAACAACGATATTGTATTATTCACTGAAAGTATGATTTATATTTTCGAATACGGCTCGTTTAGGTTGCTTAGGCGTGATCATTTTAATGTTATTATGCCTAATTATTCAACCATACGGGGCGCTCTCAATTCGTACCGCGGTAAAACGTACTGGTTTTTCGACAATAATATGTTTAGTGAAATTGATGATTGCCGCTTTTTACCGAAAAGTACCGCACTGATAACAGAACACTTTACGGGTGTACCTAGTAAAATAGATTCGGTACTTCGGTACACTAATGGTATAACTTATTTTCTTTATAACGGATATTATTACGGTTATGACGAATTTTCCAATAGTTTAAAAGCAACCGGTAAACTTAACTTGGATTTCTTTGGAATATCTTGTCCAAACATTAGCTTATTAGAAAAACTAAAAGTATTGTTAAATAAAATTATAAATCAAAATACAGTGTAATATCTACAAATGTATTATTATTTTAATAGTTCCTAAATAAATATTTTAAAATTGTTTCTCGTTTTTTTATTTAGTGGCAAAATTTCTATACAAAAAATATTAATATTGTAATATCGACTTACCAGATAGGCACACAAAACCATAATGATTTTTGCAATAGGTATGACGTTTACTGGACCATACTGATTGGTTGTTAATTATAGAAAAAATATGTAGCGTCGTACGCTATTGGTTGATATTTTTTTGGCGCGAACTGGTTAGCGGTTGGCGTTCGTTGATTGGTTGTAAGGGGGTTTTTAACTATAAAAGGAGTTAATTTTTTCGTAAAGGCATATTCTTTCGAAAGTAGTGCTTGGTGTTGTTTACGTGCTCTACCCCGTTATTTTTTAGAAGCCTAGTAGTGAGGGTAATAAGATGGCTGCATCACAACAGCAAGAAAATACCGTATTAGTAGAGTCGGGGTTGAAGTTAGAAAAGAAACTAAACCCCAACGATATGGTTGTTGATGTCCTCTATCCAGTAGACGACATCGTTACTATTGACGGCCCCTACGGCCGCCAAACTAAGGTATATTTGAAGAGTGGGCAGGTAGTCTACCTTCCCAAACGTATGACGTTATCGCCTGAAACTATTGAGGGTCTCTACCCTAAACAAAAGGCCCTCGTGTGTCGGGGGTATAAATACGTGGAAAAATACAAAGTTTCAACCCCGCTGCTGGAGATTGTAGAGGATTGGGGACAGTGGTAAGTTTTTTATTTATTTTTTAAACCTACTCTACATCAGACTTTTTTGCTTCAGAAGTATTAAAGCCTGGCCAGAGAGTACGCAGTATTGTTTCAGCTGTAAACGCTTTTTTTGTTTTTGTGAAGAATCATTGAGAGCACACATTTATATTTTGGAAAATACAAGTTCATTATTATGTTCCGAAACTATGTTTGACTCACCATAGTAACATTTTTATATCCAAATTTTGTAAGATTAAAACTTTCAACTTAAATGACTAATTTTAGTAAAACTTTAAATTTTTTGTACTTGGCTTTAATTTTGTATTATTATCCTAGCAACATGATAAAATTTTGTTCTCTCTCGGCGTATATATATATAAATATTATTTTTTTTAAAATTTTTGTTTTATATTCATATTTTATATTGTTTGCCTCTTAGAAATAAATATTTTAACTCTCACTGCTAGGCTTTTAAATAAACGGTATTTTTAAAACTTTGTATTTTTTTTTCTGAAATAAAAATTATAGGTGGGTTATGTAAAAGAAAACATCTCAATATTTTTATATCTCTTTATTCAAATTATTTTTTTACTATACGTCTATATTTTCTTCTTGGGCGGTGGTGTAATACACATACACCACCTTATCTGTGGTGTCCGCCCATATGGTCATAAATACCTCCCCCACCTGGTCGGCCCAGAGTTGCTCCAGGGGCTGCGGGGGACAGGGCCCTGGAGCCGGTTGAGGCGACAAAATGTAGGCGAACTGTAAAAAACGACCATATTTAAATCTATAATAACAATATCTCGAAAAGACTTACATCCTCGCCGGGGTAATAATACCCGGTGATGTCTCGCGCGAAGTCGAGGCAGAAAGTCTCGGTATTTAGGCCCGTACTATTCGATTGATAAATACCCGATATCATTTTCCACACATCGTCGAAAGTTACACCGCTGGCCGGTTTGAAATTGATCCATCCATCGCCCCTTGTAAAGTCTTTGGAACAGAAATTTATGCCCACTTGATCACTTGGGGCTACGCCCTCGACCCCTTTCTTCAAAATATCTTCTATGGCCCCCTTCGTCCATTTAATAGGATCTTCACCATTGGGCACTGGTTTTATTTTAAATTCCGTCTTACGTCCGGTAAGACCGAAACGAGGAACTTTTTTCACTGAATCTTTAATCACAATAAACTTTTCCATTTTTGAGGTTAAGTTATCCGCTGCTGGTACTACGATGTGACACCTGCAATATCTCGAAGAGAACTGATTTGGGTTGGGTGTGTCGTCCTTTTTATACCTTGACAGCTGTAGTGACGTGTGCAGAGGTAGAACGGTAAAGGTATGGTGTAATGTTACGCAATATTGTGTAATTCTAATTACCTTTTCGACCCTTTTTAATTATTATTATTTTTAATACACTCTGTAACTATAAACATTTTTCTGTTTGCGATAAGAAAATACTATATTTAAATGGTAGTATTTTAATCGCCATTTCCTTCAGCTGATTCACACCGCCGACGCCGCAGCCGATGACGTTACCAACAACAAGTCTCAACAAATCTAAATCGCAAACCTCAGGCGTTCGATCATTGTTTTTCAGTTTATTTACGGTATTAGAACTTTACGGGTGTTTTAGCGGTTGGTGGAAAAGACTTAAATGTGGTATCGAAGAAAGGTGTATGTGTGTGTTAGGTGGATATTAACAATAAACCCCGGTGAGTACCTATTTTTTGAAGCTTTTAAATGTGTCTTTTTCATTCCCTCATTATGTGCGCTATATTATTCGGTAGGCATGTGGGTTTTTGTAGTTTTGCATTATATATATTTCAACCTTGCCCAGATTTTACATTAAAAAGCATATTTTTTATATCTTTTGATTGTATCGAAACTAGGATGTTTTATAAGCTAATAAATTTATAGGGTGTTTGGTATTGGGTATGTTTTGCATTCTTTTTAAATTTTTCCTGTACCTCGCGTGCGTGCGTACAAAAGGCGCCGCCGCCGCACCCAGTTGGTTTTGGCGCGCGACCGTTTGACATTTGACAGATGATAGATTTTTATATCTTTTGATTTAACAATTTGTATCCAAAATAGGTTGTTTTTTCTAACTAACTAAGCTAATAAATTTATAGGGCGTTTGACTGCCCGTGTTTTTGCATTATATATATTTCAACCTTGTTCCGATGTTTACCTGATTTAAATTCTACCTGTACTTACCTTACGCTGCTGCTGCTGCTGCATCCTAAACATCTTAAATAGTTATCGTGGTAAGTAAACAATATTTTTAGTCTATTTTTTATTTTTGAAGTCTTGTTAAAATGGTGAATGCGCTAATATATTTTTTTATTTTAATAAATATTAATGGGGCCCAGGTATAAGGCATGGGGCGAGTGTTGGTGTTGTATGGTATTTGACTTGAATGACATCCTCATTCGTCAGGTGATCTATACCTTTGAGACAGCTTTAAACCCCCAAAGCGGTTGCGCCAGGTAATCTCTTACATATAGACATCTAATACAAATAATTTTAAAAGCGAACATGCTCCGTTGGTTAACCCGCAGGATTCCTAATCGAGAAGTCGTCGGTTCAAACCCGGCAAGTTCCAGGACTTTTTTTATTTTCAGCATCGGCCGTGTGACGCTGCGCTACCCACTAGGTGACCTTTCTACATGATAGATGGTGTTTGGTGTCGCGCTACCCGATAGGTGGTGCAGGATATTACACGATAGATGGCGTTTGGTGTTTGTCGTTAGGATATTACATGATAGATGGCGTTTGTCATATAACTTAAGATAGATTCGATAGATGGCGCTGCGCTACCCGCTAGGTGACGTTGGTCTATTACACGGTAGGTGGCGCTGTCCGATATGGTTAGGGATATTACGCGGTAGATGGCGCTGGCGCTTGACAGATGCGGTGTTGCCGGGCGCTCGGCGATATGCGACGTTGCCAAATCTAAAATTCAGTAGATTTAGGGAAATTACATATACGCTATGTTATAAGTTTACATAGGGTGGGGCACTATGGACGGTAAAATTTCCCTAAATTTAGGGAGAAAATCGGGGCTGACCTTGGTCTAAGGTGGCCCAATGCCTACTTAAGTATATATTTTTTCTGTTTTTCACCATACTAATTATTTTTTCATGTACATTAGGTTGGACTCTCCAGCAACTCCTTCACGTAGATGTAAGGGTAAATAAAATCAACCCACTAAAAGCCTCATCTTACATACCATTACCGAAGGAAATAGAAGCGAAAAAAGCTGTATTGAACATACAAAACACTGACCAGAAATGTTTTGTATGGTCGGTTTTAGCCGCCTTTCACCCAGTTCCCCGAACTCAGAACGCCAACCGAGTCCAGAATTATCATCCATTTGAGCAGGAATTGGATGTGACAGGTATAGATTTTCCGATATCTTTGAAACAGTTGCCAAAATTCGAACAACTCAATAATATTTCTATTAATGTTTATGGACTCGAGAAAGGTTATAAACATGATAGGAATATTATTGAAGTTGTTGGTCCTTTGTATTTTACTAGATCTCATAAGACAGATAGACATGTGAATTTGTTATTAATCAGTGATGATTCTGGCAATAATCATTATTGTTTAATAAGAAATATGTCTCGCCTAATCTCCAAACAACTTTCAGGCAAACAACATTCAAAATTCTTATGCGATGGTTGCTTGGTTTATTTTTCTTCAGATATTAAATTAGAAAATCATCAAAAATACGATTGTGGTCACGTTGTAGTTGAAACTCCTTCGGATAATTTAAAGAAAAATAAATATGGTGAAAATATTCCCGAGAATATCCTTAAATTTACGAATTTCGAACGAAAATTAAAAGTACCTTTTGTTGTATAAGCTGATTTTGAAACTATTTTGGAACCTATACAAACAGAGCAAAACGAGTTGGATCCTGAAATTTCCTATACGGTGAAAACACACCAACACGTTCCTTATTCTTTTGCCTATTACATTAAATGCGATTTTGATAATTCTCAGTCGATTTTCAAGACTTTTAGAGGACCTGATGCACATAAAGTTTTCATAGATTGGTTAGAGACTGGTTGTAAATCAATCTACAATCGATTTATGAAAGATATTGTATCCATGTCTCCTCTCAGTAGCGTACAAGAGGCTGAGTTTTATCAGATGACACATTGTCATATTTGTGAATCTCCTTTTAATGTAGAAGATGAAAGAGTAAGGGACCACTGTCATCTAACAGGAAATTATCGAGGTGCGACTCACTCTGTTTGTAACCTAAATTTTAAAGTACCTAATTTTATTCCTGTGTTCTTCCACAACATGTCAAATTTTGACAGCCATCTTTTTATAAAAGAATTGGCTGTGGAGGAAGAACGATTGGACGTCATTCCCCAAAACAAAGAAAGATATATTTCTTTTACAAAATATATTATGGTGGGGGATGATGATGACGGCCAGGAAAAGCGACAACAAAAGATATTTTTAAAATTAAGATTTTTGGATAGTTTCCGTTTCATGGCATCAAGTCTAGATAAACTAAGTCAAAATTTAACATCACAGCAGTGTCGCGAGGTTAGGAAGTTTTTCCCTAACGAAGAAGAATTTAAGGTTATTCGTATGAAGGGTGTTTTCCCATAGTCGTACGTAGATTCCTTTTCCAAATTAGACGATACCAAGCTTCCACCCATTGATGGCTTCTATAACAAACTTAGAAAAGAAGCCATCAAACAAGGAGATTACGAGCGTGCATTGAACGTATGGAATTTATTTAAATGTCAAACTTTTTTAAGCGAATATTCAGATATATATTTAAAATCCGACGTACTATTATTAACTGATGTTTTTGAGAATTTTAGAGAGGTGTGTCTACAAACATACGGTCTAGATCCTTGTCAATACTTCACCGCACCATCTCTGTCCTTTGACGCAGCTTTAAAAACTACATCTATCGAGCTGGAATTATTGACAGATCTAGACATGATACATTTCTTTAAACACGGGATTCGCGGCGGTGTCAGTCAATGTAGTGTTAGAAAAGCTATCGCGAATAATAAATTTATGTCTATATACGACGCTTCCAAACCTACTTCCTACATTATGTACTTGGATGCTACCAATTTATATGGAGCAGCCATGTCACAATATCTACCAACAGGTAACTTTACGTGGCTAACAGAAGAAGAAATTTCAAACTTAAATTTTATGAATATCGATAAAAATTCTAATATAGGTTATGTTTTTGAAGTCGATTTAGAGTATCCCGAGTATTTACATGATTTGCACAATGAATTACCCTTTTGCCCAGAGTCTGTTCAACCAGAGGGATCTAAAGTTTCAAATTAATACCCAATTTTAATTCTAAAGTTAGATATGTAATTCATTATCAAAATTTACAGCAAGCGCTGAACCATGGTCTGAAACTTGCCAAAAATTCATCGCATTTTATCCTTTAACCAATCTCCCTGGTTGAAAACCTACATTGATCTAAATACAGCAAAGCGTAATAACGCTGAAAATAAGTTTGAAAAAGATTTTTTCAAACTTATGAATAACGCTGCATTTGGAAAAACAATGAAGAACGTGGAGAAACGGGTAAATATTAAGTTAGTTACCCACTGGGAAAATATTGGTAGAAAGCTAGGGGCAGAAGCGTACATTTCCAAGCCGCATTTTAAAGACTTGACGATTTTTAGCGAAAATTTAGTCGCAATACATATGGCTAAACAGAAAATCGTATATAATAAACCTATTTACGTAGGCTTTTCAATTTTGGAAATTTCCAAAACTATTATGTATGATTTTTTGTATAGCTATATTAAACCAAAGTACGGTAATAAAGCTTCACTGCTCTACACTGACACCGATTCTCTAATTTTACAAATTCAAACCGACAATTTTTATGATGACATGCGCGAAAATTTAGATAGATTCGATACGTCAAATTACTCGCAAAACAACCCACATAATATTCCTGTAAATTCGTCTGTGTTGGGCCGTATGAAGGATGAATATGCAGGAAAAATTTTGTGGGAGTTTTATGGAACTGGGGCTAAAGCATATTGTGTAAATGTGGATGGTGAGTTAACGAAAAAGGCCAAAGGCGTGCCTGACTACATCACCAAACAAGATATTAGTTTGAATGATTATAAAAACACGGTCGATGTAGCAGGTACGAAAATCTATCGCTCGATGAACACTTTCCGTTCACATTTACACAATATGTATGTAGAGCTAAAAAATAAGATAGTCTTATCCTACGCGGACGATAAGAGATTTCTTATTCCCAATTCCGAGTACACGCTCGCATGGGGCCACAAAGATTTAGGAAAATATAGGGATGAATAATCGGAAAATCTATAGGCTGAAACCAAGGACAGCTATTTTTTACTTCTATTTCCTTCGATATTTTTTTATTTATTTATTTATATTTAATTACTTTCATGTTTAGAGGATGGGTTAATTTTATTTTTTGTATTTTAGTGTATTTTATTTAGAGTATATACAAAATTTTTATATTATTATTTTTTATGTTATTATTATATTATTTTTTATTTAGAGTATTATATTCAATATATTTTAGCTTACATTTAACATATTTATATTGTATACAAATTTAAACGTTTTCTACTATGTCTACTGTTTGATTTAAGCTTTTCAATAGCTGCATTCAAATTTAGTAATTTTTTCCCAACACAAATAATTATTTTTACACCTGTATTTTAACAGTACTGAAAAACATTTTTCAATCTTTTATATTGTACAAGACTGATTTTATAAAAAAAAATATTTAGAGTATTCTAAATAAAACAATTTTTTCATTTCACTGTGTATTTATTTTCCACATTTCTCTCATCTAGTAAATTATAAAAAATAGGTAAACAATATTTAAATAACAATATACATTCATTATTAATAGATTTAAATTTATTGAGTTAACAGGTTTATAATATAATCATATAATATATGAGCATTATTTACAGTACAAGAACATATTTCTAGTTTATGATAATTACAATTACTGTATGATTGTTCTAATTTCGGTACAGGTCCAGAAGTAAATTCCAAGTTCACTATACAGGGTGGATCAAGATTCATTTCGTTGTACGTGCACAGCAGAAATTCATTTTTAATATATCCTTTAACGAAAACCATATCAACACCTTCCAATTCCTCCTGTATTATGTTATGCATCGCCTTATAGGGTAAATACCCTGAATTATAAGGGATTCCATGAACATTGTGAAATATATAATTTATCGTCTTCTTATGGTGTATCGGCAGATGGTTGTAACAAATCTTTGGTTTAAACGTATAGGTTTTCATTTCTTTTCCATCGTATATGGATAATTCCTTAACCTCAAATTCGGGGATGGAAAATCCTTGTACGTCTATAACAACGAACTTCATCGATCAATGTCTTGCAGCAACTGATTAAATTAGTGTTCTAACATGTCCTGATAAAGGTAAATATTCTATGACTCGATCGTATATGATGATACAAAATGCTCGGGTGTTTTCGGGGAAATTTTCCGAACTCTCAAATTCTAGCTTTACATCTATCACATTACTTTTCAAAGCCTCGTTTTGTTTTGAACAATCGATTACAAATAGGGCATGACTGGCAAAAGCGGTAAAATCTAGCAAAGGTTCGCTATTGATCTTTCCCAAATACGATTTTTGAAAATCCGTATACATAGAATAGGCTTTAGTAAACTGTCTAGTGTTGAAATTTAAATCTAGGGATTCATATGGGTAGGCCTCGGAATTTAGATAAAGCTTGACATCTGTAATTTTCAAATTATCGAAATATGTGCCATTAGCTTTATAGTTATCTTTTCGATCTTCTTGGAAGAATACAATATCATATCTCGCTCGTTCAGATGCTGCCTTCACTGTCCATACATCTTTTCTCGCTTGTCGTAGAGCAGGTAGTTCATGAATTTCCCATTTCCTAAATCCAATAAATATCGGTTTGTCCTTGGAAATTGCTTCAAACAATTTTAATTTCACAGAATCGTTCGGATAGATATGTTTTACTCTTAACTCGATATTCAAAATGGTGATGTCTGCTTTCTTGTTTCCCTCTGAATTAACATAACAATTATCATCCTTTTGGCACGTACAAGCTTTAATTTCTGCGTTCCCATAATAGCGCTAGTATAATCGGAGAAGACGTTCAATAGGAAATTCAATGGTATTAGGAGACTGAAATTATCTGTTTCTGGCTCATATGATTTCACAGCACCGCCAGGCCAATTCCATCCCGCCACATCAAGGGCAGTACTTTCATTTTGATTGAGACACAAAGACTTTTAACGGTACTTATACCCTGGATCTCGTACTTTATCGATTACTTTTCCATTCAATTCATACGTTATCGATTCAAATAGAAATGCTCCAACGTTATTTGTTAAGGAACATTTTCCTGTTTTCACAACTGTCGATACTTCTTCCAGAAATTTGGCCTCAATGTATAATTCAGCCTGACTAATATCCATAAACACATCCTGCTGATTAATAACAATTTCTATCTCATCGCTGTTCTTAAATGATTTGGTGAACGGGTGATACGTATGCCATTCTTCTCGAGCAATGGATTCATCTACGTTGACCGGTTGGAATATTTGTAGTTTTTCTGATACGGAGTCCATATTTACTGATAATATGGTGAAGCTGAAGTATGCTCTTGGACGTGAGCGTCTGCTTCGGAGTACAAGTACTAACTGATTGATTGCTCTGTGATCTGGTATTTAAATAGTAAGGTTTAAAAGTTAAACCCATTCTTTTTAAGCTCCAAACGTATAACAATGTCTTCACCTCTAAAGTTGACCGGTCTTGATTCCTGATCTAATATATCCAATGTAATGTTATCAATAAAATTTCTATTTACTGGAAGATAGATTAGATTCCTGGGTTCGATAATTATACTATAGCCAGGATCTACGCTTGGACTAAACTCGTACAGTGTATGAGATGGATTATTAATGTAATACGATCCAGATATGATATTGCACTCGATACGTATTGTTACCACAGGAAAAATTTCCACAGGTATATCTGATTTGTGCAATTTGTTGGCAGCTAAAACTTGCGGTGAAAATCCTAATATTTTTCCAATACTATCTTCAGGTTGAAAATCTATATCGTAGATACACTTTATTTCACACTTTAGTGTATTATTATTAGGGTGTAACTTTATAACGGTTTTACTCTTAGAACTTAGCTCTTTTTGCAAATACTCTTCAATGTCGGTAATCTCGTAAGATCCTGTTGGAATTTCAATTATCTGCTTTATACCGTCTACAGAATAATGAAACTTATTTCGACCTGGTTCGATATTCGGTATTGAATTCCAGGTACTGAGAGATATCAGAGCTAGAGAATAACTGTATCTAGAATCGAGTTCTATTGGAGGATTAATGTCCACGCTTAAACAGCTAGAACGACCTTTCAGCGTAAATGTCTGAGACATGACTAAGTGTGAAATTAAAACACATGTTCTTTTATAACTATTTATTATTATAGAGAAAAGACAATGCAAGAGGACCACAATTGTAAGTATTATATGTTTGATACTGGTCGTAATTATAATATATTTTACATTTCTTGAAATATCGAACAATTTCTTTTGGTGGGTTTAAATTTCCAAAACTATCAAAATACACAACTTTATCCCTTGTTTTTCTATATGCTACCCAATGAGTTCCATCTCCTTCAATCTCGTCCAAATTTACAACACCGCACTCGTTCGTTCTAGGTGTTTGTGGTAGGGTATTTCGCATAAATACTCCTCTGAAGTTGACAATTTTTAATTTCTTTACATATTTCTGTATATCTAGGTTAGACAAAGGTCGATTGGGTAGCTTTATTGGAAGTTTTTTGGTGATTGCTTCTGAAGAAATAATCCATATCCTGTCTTGTGTTTGGCAAGGTATAATCCGCTTCCTTTTTTACCCAACGCAATGGCTTCCATGGTTTCGTTATGTCGTTGAGATTCCTTTAATTTATCTCTTGCCGCTCGGCTATCTTGGACAGCTTTAGCGACAGAGGCAGCGCCTCCGGTAAGAGCTCCCAAAGCACTTAGACCTGCGAAGAGCGGAATAAGAGGTAAATCCTCCGACTTTAGGTACTGGTATAACTCTAGGTACTTTAACTTTTCTTCTACCACCAGCTTGTTTAACACTCATGCGAGCTACTCTCAGTGCTAGTTTAATATTATCCTTGAGGGTGCCATTACCATAATGTTTAATATGTCTCTTCACTTTATTAACAATAAAATATTTGAAAGGTTTTCGTTTAACACCCATACCAAGCTTTCGTTTTGTTTTCATTGCGTTTGTAACAAGCTACGCAGCACTTTTTTCTCCGATATTAGAATCCAAAGCTTTAACTCTCTCCCACGCTTTTTCCTCCAATACTTTATCGGC